TATAAGATATTTAATAATTAGAATACAAATCACGATAGACTTTCATGTAAACACATGCAATAAGTTAGTCACATAAATAAAATCTCCTACAATATTTTGACTAAGGAACTATAAAGACAATTTATTCAAATCACAAAATCTAAAAAAATTTATTTAATATTTGAGAGATAAAAGGGAAATTTTCTCCAATAAAAAAAAGACTACAAATGCATTTAAACCAACATATATAATGAATACTAATGTTTCAAGAGTATGGTCTTTAACAATAAAAAAAAAGAACTAAAATTAAGAAGAAAAAAACAAGTTAAGAAGATGTTTGAATAGAAGTAGAAGTGACCTTGGAGAAGCAGTAACAAGAATGAGATTATTGAAGAGGTGAGGTCTTTTAATGGAGGCAATGCAACCAATCATAGCAGACATGGAATGTCCAACAAAAGTGACAGAGTTGAGGTCCATCTCATCTATGACAGTGATCAAATCATCAGCATAAGGTTCAAAGGAGGTGTACTTGGCATGCTCATAAAGGCTCTTATCAGTCACAGCCCCAGAAAAAGGCCAATCAAAGAGAACCAGAGTGTAACTTTCTGCCAAAAGGGGAATGATTTTGTGCCATATCGATTGGTCCGTTCCAAACCCATGACACAAAACTATGGTTTCCTTGCCTGACCCTATGCTTCTTGCATTTAAACCTCTTGAAAGCCTCTTTTCTGGTGTCACCATGATTCAAAATATTGTTCAAAAACTTACCTTGAACTATAGACTGATTTAGCTTCTTGAAGCTACTTTTGTTACTGCTTATTATGATCTCAATTTATAGTGTTCATGAAACAAATGTAGAGAATTAAATATAAGAGAATGGAGTGGTTAAAAGTTGTTTGTTTTGTGCAGTTTGTTTGGTTATAGTGTAGCATCATGAAATTTAGAAAAATGATGGAAGCTTGACTTTCATATTTTAAACAAATTATTAAATTAGTGACACTACTTAATGAGGATGTAACACCCTACGTTATATAACTAACCATATCATAAAATATGTAGTATACTAACCAATATATATATATATATATATATATATAT